CCGAGGCTTTTTGTTTTCAAGGCTAACCCTCACCCACCTGAGCCACAGCTCCACTTCCAGCTTTTCTGGTAGTTAGTTGTAACTATGAGTCCTACAGATTTTCTTTTCTAGGTTGGCTTTAAGACAAAATTCTCAGATCTCAGCCTCCTCAGCCTTTTGAGGAAGATCACAGAGGTAAAGTGTCATCATCTCCTCCTGCTATATTAAGGGCTCATGCAATTAGCATGACTCAGGACTGCTGATGTTCATCTTGATCACTTGACTGAGGTGGTCTTTGACGAGTGAACTTTTCCCATTAAACATGACTCCTCCATCTTTTCCTGTACTATATTCCTAGGAAGGAAGCCACTGTGCCCAGTCAATGGAAAAGTTTCATATTCCCCCCAGGGCCCTAGGTGCATATTTCTGATGCAATGATGAAGGGACCCAGCATTCCTTAATCCTGTGGCTCTGTCATCCCCCGGTGGGGCTTTGTCATCTTCATCCAGCCCATGTTAAGAAAAAGAGAGTGTGGAGGAGAATGTTTGCTTTTAGAAGCCTTGGCCTGAAAATGGCACACATCACTTCCACTTACATTCCATATGACACTCATTCATCTGCCAAGCCTAATTGCAAGGGAGGCTAGGACATATGGTCTAGCTGGGCGCCCAGGAAAAAGAGGAAATGGATTTGAGCAAAAATACTAGCAGGATTTGCTGTACTACTTCAGCGCATAAAAGATAACAAACAAACCTCTCCTCCTCCACTATCTAATAATGTAGTTATCCTTTGATTAAATTTTAAAAAAGACAAGAAAAAGGAATGGAAGGACGTAAAACATCTTAGAATCAAATAGAGTCATATGAATTGAACAAAAAGTAGCTTAATAAAAAGCGTATTTCATTGGCTGTATTTTTTTATTTCACTGTTCATCTGTGAACATTTATCTGTCCTGTTTTCTCTCAGTATTGGAATCTAGATGTTCTCAAAGTCTGCCTTGTCTTTGCCTATCTGGAATAGGTCTTTGGGATTTTTTTTTTCCTATGAGATTGCTATCCACTCTTCCAATGACAGATGAGATGTCTGCCTAATTTTCAAATGGAATTAATCCTTGCTCCTTGGGGCTACCTTGCCATCTGCTACACTTCCCTATTTAACAGCTACTTCACATTAGTTTTTGATACAATGCCTTTCATGCGTAGATGGGGTGCTTTCTGAGGGCAGGCGGCATAAGGTCTATTTGATGCTGCCTGTATTCTGTGAATGTACTCAGGACACTAGATGTTCTAAAAAGTTCTCTCTCTCCTTCCTTGTCTCTGCCTCTGCCTCTTCCTTTCTCTCCTCTCATTACCTTTCCCTCTTCTCAGATTGGGTCACTCTGTTTCCCTGGCTGGTCTTGAACTCCTCAATTTAAATGATCCTCCTATTTCATCTCTTAAGCATTTGGAACTACAACCATGGACTATCATGCTTGGTTCTTTCTTTAACATATAGCAAGATAGGTGTTGGTTCTCTCCCCTACTTATAAAAGATCTAGCTTACCCAGTAGTCTATACAGTATTCATTGGTACATATTTGAAGGCATTTGTACAGTAGCTGCTCAGAAACTTCTATGGTACCGGACTTGCCCTTTCTTGGATCATCTTGTAATGAAAACTCAGACTTGGAACATGCTGTGGCCTTGTCCTTAGCATTCGTGGTTGGTATAAAAGTCTGGTGCTCATTATCCTGAACTTGAGTAACTAACAAACCTGAGCTCACAGAGTCCCAACAGGGGATAGCTTCACAATGGCAAAATAAATGTTTAATTACAGGTGCAGAAAGAGGAGCATGAAGAAAACAAACAATGTTGTGATGGCCCTAATGACTAAGCTGCCATCCATGCCGTTACCGACAAAAGTGTGGCTTTTTAAAGTGATTTTAAGCTCATTAGAAATAAAATAGGAATTAAGAGACAGGTGTCTTTTGCTTTCCTACCATGATGTCCTGTCCTCTACTTGCTGCCCACTGTTTACTTCAGTGCCTTTGCAAGTTCAATCAATAGTTTGTTAACATAAAATCAAGGTTGTAGAATGTGCTCTTACTTCCCTTACAGTGTTGTCCACAGTTGTCTTAAATTTCATAGTTGAAACATTGAAGCTTAAGATGCACAATTTTATAGAGGGTCCCAGTTCATAGTGTCACACGAACTTCACTCGAAATTCTCTATGATTTCAGTCAAAGGAGGAGTTCTACTTTTTATATTATAGGCATACAAAGACTGAGACTCAGCTAGTAAATTAATTACTCAGACTTGGAACTTGCTGTGGCCTTGCTCTTAACATTAGCACCTGGGACTCTAAGCTGTGTCTTCTGAATCCAAAGCTAGAGTTGAGTTCACAATGCCAGACACTGCCTGTCAGCCAGGTCACTTCAAAGCAGGGAGTTGTTTGTGTCGTGATTGCCCAGCTCTGGATTTTTTTCTGACACATCTTAGAGTGGGTAGGTTGGACTCATAGTCAAAAAGCATTTTACACATGTAATCGTAGCTACTCAGGAGGCTGAGATCTGAGGATCATTGTTTAAAGCCAGCTGGGGCAAGAAAAGCCCTGAGACTCTTATCTCCACGTAATTTCCAAAAAAGCAGGAGGAAGAGCTGTGGCTCAAGTGGTAGAGTGCTAGCCTTGAGCAAAATAGCTCAGGGACAGCATCCAGTCCTGAGTTCAAGCTTTAGGGCTGGCGCGCGCGCGCGCACACACACACACACACACACACACACACACACACACACACACACACACACTCAATGAGTCCTTTATTTAAATTCTGTTAACATTCAAGGCAAAGGATTCTAATATGGCCAAACTAAATCATATAAAGATCTTTTGGTTTAAGTTTCGGATTATTTTGATAAATTAAATAAATTGTACTCAAGACATTACATAGCTATTAATCAGAATGCCTAATTTCCAGTTCCATTCTTCCTCTTTTTTTTTTTTTTTAACACCCTCTGTCTTCATTCACACTTGGCTTGGCATCTCTTTTGCTTGGTAAAATTGCTGTGAAGAGGAGATAATGATGGAATAATTTCTTCATTTTCCAAAACATGTGCTATTGAGTTTTATGTGTAAAATCTCTACTATAGATGTACGTTATAGGAGAGTAAGGGAGCAGACAGAACCATTTCCATAGCCCTAAACAATTCTAATCCTCAATGTAAAATTCATCTTTAACCTACACATCAGTAAAGGTGTTCAGTTTTTTTTTTTTTTTGTCGGTCATGGGGCCTGAACTCTGGGCCTGGGCGCTGTCCCTCAGCTCTTCAGCTCAAGGCGAGCACTCTACCACTTGAGCTACAGCGCCACTTCCGGTTTTCTGGTGGTTTATTGGAGATAGGAGTCTCACAGTCTTTCTTGCCCGGGCTGGCTTTGAACCGCGATCCTCAGATCTCAGCCTCCTGAGTAGCTAGGATTACAGGCGTGAGCCACCAGCGCCCGGCTTTAAAGGTGTTCAGTTTAACCCGCAATGTCTTGGTCAGTCTTGATGGAACAGGTGGACAAAGGATGAGATTGATGAGTACAGATTCAGTGACTGTCCTGTCAGAACTTCAACTATTATATAGCTTCCATCTTTGCCACCAGAGGCAGTATTTCCCCTTTCCTCCTCATGTTTTTGTTTTGTTTTTCTTTTTAAATTTGATTTTTAAATTTAAAGTTTAAAAAATCTTTTTAACTTTTTAAATTTCATTGTCAAGATGATGTACAGCGGGGTTGCAGTTACATCCGTAAGGTAGTGAGTACATTTCTTTTAGAACTTGTTACCCCCTCCCTCATTTTCTCCCGTTCTGTCTCTCACCACTACCCATCCCCCCCGCAAGTTGTACAGCACATTTTCAACATATCGTCTCATGAGTATCACTGTTGCATTGGTTCTTTCTTTGTTCTTTGTCTCACCGTTCTGTTGTTCCCCCTCCCTTCCCTAATTCAGGTAAATGTATATACAAAACCCATGGTACCAAAATCAAGTACAGTGACAACAGGGGATAAACCATAGGGGGAAAAATACAAAAGAAACAAGAAATCACATAGTACATGACATACAACAACAACACAGAAAATCTTCAAGTTTTTAATGAAACGATTAGGGCTATAAATACAATGAAACATTTTTTACCCAACACTACAAACAGAAAGATGTGGATGTGGTATAAACTAGATTGTTGCTGCTGTCAACACCACCATGAGATAGCTTTACATATTTATGTTAGTGGCTATGCAAAAACCTAACTGTAGTGTAAAACAGTCTATCTGACTTTTAAAGTATGGACCATTTCTGGTATGAAATACTTAAGGAATACATATGAGTGAGTTTTCTTTTTTCCCCCCTCCTTTGGTACTGGAAGAATTATGTGCAGCACTGGGATTTCTAGCTGGTGAAGTCTTTAGCAAAGGCGAAATCTGTTTCCACTTACAACTTATTGGCTTCTCATGGCCATGAGGGTTTTGTTTTAGCTAGTGGTTCTCACACAAACCATACTTTCTGGGTGTACTTGATCAGAATTTCAGAACACAAGAGCTTCTGATGAATAGTTGATATCCAGCAGGAATGATAGTCTTCCAGGGCCTGATTATCACTGCTGGAAGCTCAGGCGGAATTATGGAGGCATTTGGCTTACACAGTGATTCTGGAATGGGACCATACACTTGGTCACATTTTACAGCTAGACACCCAATGTCTGAGGAAGGAGTAGAAATCCCCTCTCCCACATTTTAGCATGCCTCTGTATTTTCCTAATTTGTAATTAGCTTTTATTTATTTACATTTGATTTATTGCCTCAAACTATCACAATGTTCCCCCTAGACAGAAGTAAAGAGAGCATAGATATATTATTGAAATACTCCCTTTCCAAATACTAATTACATTATTGAGACATCATCGATATTTATGCATTTTGCTTATAGAATGCGTTTAACAAGTTGCAAGTGTGCATTTTTAATAAACAAAATAAAAATTCGAATGATGATTTCATTTTGTTTTGCAGAACCCCAGCTGAAAGGAATCGTGACAAGGTTATTCAGCCAGCAGGGATATTTCCTGCAGATGCATCCAGATGGTACCATTGACGGGACCAAGGACGAGAACAGCGACTACAGTAAGGAACATGAGTTTCTTGAAATCCCAGTACACAACAAATCTATGGCCCACTGTATCTTAGATTTAAAGCGTGGCCAGGCTGCCTTCTGAGCAAGTTAACTGCTAGGGTGTCAGGGTCTTTTTTCTTTATCCTTCTTGCCATGAATCTGCTACAACAAAGCAGAGGTTATCTACTAATACAAACAAAGAAGAAGGTAGGAAGTTAAATAAGAAAGTAGGAAGCTTGCAGGATTTCAGCTAATCCATGGATAAGGATTATTTATCATTCATTTATTCATTCATTTATCTGTGTGTCATGTCTGGGGTTTGAACTCAGGGCCTGGGCAGTATCCCTGAGGTTTTTTTCCCCCCCTTTACCACTTGAGTCACAACTCCACTTCTGGTTTTTTTTTTTTGTCTGTTTATTTGTTTTTTTTTTTTTTGGGTAGTCAACAGTAGATAAGAGTCTTACAGACTTTTCTGCCCAGTATGTCTTTGAACATGGTTGTCACATCTCACCCTTCTGAGTGGCTTTGATTGCAGGTGTGAGCCGTGGGTATCTAATGAGGATTTCTTTCCATTGCAGCGTTTCTCATCAGAGAGATAAGTACTTCTAGGGACAATATTAACTCTCTAACACAAGACGGTAGTTACATCCTAGGCTTAGATGATGGAAATAATTTGGGATAAATAGAATTACTTCTAGATGGCAGAGTGGCTCATGTGGAGTACCTGCCTTGCCTAGCATGTCTGAGGCCCTGAGTTCAGCTCCTAACATTGCTCAGCAACAACAAAAACTTGCTTCTAAAGGTAAACATTGAATCCATGCATATGTTATTTCACTTTGATTAAGAATAAAAGTAAAGGAACGTTTTTCAGGAACTTTGTATGCATATGATGATGATTTTTTCTAGTACAAATTATAGGAACAAGAAAATAGACAAGGATGAAATTTTTACAAAAAACTTTGAACTAGGAGTATCATATATTACAAGATTAACAATAATATCTTTATAAATCATCTATAAGCATTTAACTTGAGAGTTGATAGTTCAGTATCTAAATGCAATCATAAAAGCACACATTTGTACTTTAGAAGAAATTTCAAATATAAGCTTCAGAGACACAAATTGGAGCTATCACATCTTTCAACATCTCCATAATCATATGGGTAAGTCAGGGTAAATGCACAGATTCTAAACATATTCAGTGTCTGTTATTTTCCTGTTTTTTCTGTATATACCCCTAAATCTTAATGACTCTAAATTGCCATTAAATATCTATCCTGTTAGGTCATGATTCTGATGGACATGTGGTTCAGCTGACAATTTACCAAACTGAATATGGCAATCTAGGAAGGGTGATAATTTACAGTGATATATCTTTTAAATTAACGAGATTTGAGGAAAGATTCGAAATCCTTAAATTGGCAAGATGCTCTTGTCCACCCTTTCTAAATTTTCTTTGTTCATTTAATATTGTGCACTGCAAAATACAAATTACAATAAAGAAAGGATGCTATTATGAAGAATTTCCTCCCAGCTCTCTTGTTCTAGGTTTTTGACAAAGTAGATGATTAGCTTATTGTGGTATGCATTGTTGGTTTGTGTTGCTGTGAATGCATTCTCTAAAAGAACTTGGGTTTTCAATTCACGACCGAAGAATAAGGAGCTCTTTTCTCCATAAAGGATTGTTATCTATTATATTTGTACTTAGTTGTGGATTTAGAGAGACTACAATTATGAAAGGAAACCATGAGGAAACTGCTTTGTTGGGTCACCCATGTTAATTCTGAGGTCTTTAGATCTATGTTCTTTTTTTCAACAAGTGTGACCCTTACCATGGGATAAGGGTAGGGACACTAAACAGTTTCTAGAAAAGTTCATTGAATGTGCTTGCTTGGCTGATGGTGGGGTTACCACTAGTTTTCTACATAGATACATTTATGTAAGTATCTTTCTATACGGAGAATAAAAATATAAATCAGTGTAACAATATACAAATCAATGTGGTGCATGCGTATGTCCCTCCCACATACCATATACCCTGAGGGGGATTTGATGGATGGGTTTTGTCAAATGCTTTTCGAAACTGACAGAACTTATGCATTTAAACCACATTTTATTAAGGTCAACTGCTACACACCTTTCAGTAAATTGCTATTGAGATGGTTTAGATGTACAAAATATAATGGATAATACAAATTCATCTGGATACCCATCACCAGCTTAAAAAAGTAATTAAAAATTTCAATACATTTGAACTCCCTGTGGATTCTTTTTGATGGAATTCTGCTTTCCTTCATTACCAATGTAATCACTTTCCTGATTTGGCTTTTCTTATCATAGCATAGTTTTAAAATATATCTACTTTTGTTGAGATGTACACTTAACCACCCTATAATATTTTTGGCACATTTTAAGCTTTTGATTACATGTGAGCATTATTAAATATATATATATATATGTATATATATATATATATATATATATATATATATATATATATACTTGTATCATTAATACTGTAGTTATGAGGTTTATACAGTTAATCTGCTTGCTTTATGTAATTCCCTCACTAAAATATTTTACTACATAAATAGGTCCAAACATATTTACCCAATCTTTTGGTGAGTAACTATTATTAATATTTTAAGACCATTTCCATCAGTGCTGATGAGATCTTTCTTATAGTTCTGGACAATCTGTTGAAAAAAATAAGTCATATTGTACTTATAAACTGACATATTGAATTGAAATCCCTGTGTAAAACTACTTAATGGTAATAAAAAGTATATATAAAGTTTTTATTTTTGTACTTTTTTTATTGTAAAAAATACTGTACAGAGGGGTTCCAGTTCCATGAGTAAGGTAATGAGTACATTTCCAATTGAGCATTGTTGCCTCCTCCTTTGTTTTCCCCCTGCCATCCCTTCACACACATCTCAACACTCTCTTCTGATAACCTGTTGTGTTGGCTTTCCATCGCTATCACAAATACCTGTGATAAATTAACCTAAAAAGAGGAAAGGTTTGCATCACCTCATAGTGACAGATCTCTCAGCCCATGACTGATTAGCTGTGTTCCTTTGGGCTTGTTTTGACACGGTAAATAGATCATGGCGGGCCCTCATTGTGGATGAGGCCTGTTCATTTCAAGGTTGGGATGTGAAAGAAAGCACAGAAATGATAGGTCTCTCCAATCACTTTTAAGGGCATTGAGGCTTGTCCCCAAAGACTGGAAGGCTCTTCATTGGTGCCTTCTCAATGGAGATGCTGTTCTCCGAAGGCTGTAGTCCAATCCTTTAACACCAGGCCTCTGAGAGACATTCCAGATCCAAACTATGCATATACTTGACTTACTTGTAGTCATAATTCCTGCAACTACTTGACAAACATATTATTGTTGATTATTTATTTTTGATCTCTTTCCCAAGGAGGAGGACATATATATAATCAATCTATAAGCAGTATTACTTTGGTCTTTCATGTATATTTAGAATGGTCTATCTTTCTTGCACATAGTAAATTTCCATCACCAACTGAGTGGGTGAATGAATGAATGAGTAGCTACCTGTGGATATGTGCTAAATTTTTTCTTGGTTATTTCACAAATCCTTCCAACTCACATACATTCTCTCTCCCCCCACCCCTGTAGTGTGTGTGTGTGTGTGTGTGTGTGTGTGTGTGTGTGTGTGTGTGTGTGTGTGTGTGTATGTGTGTGTGTGTTGGTATTAAGATTTGAATTTAGGGCCTAGTGCTTGGCTTTTCTGCTTAAGGCTGGTGTTTTACCACCTGAGCTGTGCCTCTAGCTCTGGCTCTTTGCTGGTTAATTGTAGATTAGAATCTTTTGAATTTGTCTTTCTGGGCTGGCTTCAGACAAAGATCCTCAGTCTGATAATCTTCATTATGTAGGATTATTGGTATAGACGTGTGCCACAGACATGTGTTGTATTTTTGCTTTGTTTTGTATTGTTTTGTTTTTCAGTTGTGGGGCCTGAACTCTGGGCCTGGGTGCTGTCCCTCAGCTCTTCAACTCAAGGTTAGGGCTCTACCACTTGAGCCACAGCATCACTTCTGTTTTTCTGGTGGTTTATTTGAGATAAGAATCTCATGGACTTTCCTGCCTGTGCTGGCTTTGAACCATGAGCCTCGGATTTGAGCCTCCTTGGTAGCTAGGTGTGAGCCATCCGCACCCAGCTTCACAGACATGTTTTTAAAAGATATTTACTTTGGAAATTACTTCAGACTTCAGAAAAATTATAAAGTTACCCAACAAGTTCCTTCAGAGTTTTTAGCCAGTTTCTCCTAACTGCACCATTTTTACCTAACAGATTATTGGACAAGGAAATGAATACAACGTGTTATTTACTGAGTTATGGTCACGTTTCTCCTTTCTAAACTAATAGCTTTTTTGCCTTTTGTTTTGATAGTACTGGAGTTTGAACTTGTAGTTACTTGCTACAAAGAAACTCTTATCACTGAACTATACTCTCAGTTGTCTAATACACTTTCTTTTAACACTCCTCCCAATATTTTCATAAAAATTCCAAATAGTTTTTTCATCTACATGTAATTTTTGTACATACTTCTGAGAGTGAAAATTAGGGCTAAAATATGTCAGAATGACGATTAAATGGTAGTCATGTTTTTTAATAGAAAAATTGTGAGTCCTTAAGTTGTTCAAATGCCTTTTCTTTCTTTACTGTGTGTGGGTGGAGAGGAAAGAAGATGGTTTGAAAAAAAATCTTGTTACTATAAGCATCTGTCAGAACTGTGCTATTTGGTTCACTAGACATCATTAGGTCCAACCAACTTTCCCATGGTATCTTGCACAGAATTGATAAAGACACCTGCTGTTTTGTTCATGGAGAAAAGACCAATTATATGTAATTGAGTACAGACTCAAATGGGTTTGTCGGCAGTAACAGATAAGAACTTCTACAAATATAATGATAACAAAACAAATTGCAGAACCGTTTAGGAACCCTGGCACAATTGCAGTTTGGAGGGTATTAAT